GGGCAGGCAGCAGAACGCAGGCGGCCAGGCCAGCCCGGGCCATGGGGAGCAGAGGGGATGAAGGTTTGTTGTGGAGGAAGCCGTAAGTGGTAGAGTCCAAGTTGACGTCTTCCCCAGATGTTGTTCTCAACACCTATAAAATGTGATTAATGCTCATCTGAAAAAAAAAAAGGGAACTTGTCCCGAAAAATGGGTGAAAGTTCATGGGCAATCACAGCGCTCGGACTTTGCCCACCAGCCCCAGGCCCATCCTGCCCCGCTTGGCGGCGGCAGACAAAAACATTTGGCTAATGAGTTACGGAGCACAGCGGGTCCATCCCCAGGGCGGCCCTGCCATCACTCACCGTTGTCCCCAATCAGGGACGGGAGATTTTGCAATCCGGGACGTTATTTCTGTGCAGTTGGAATTTAAACTTTGCCACTTGGGTCAGGACACCACGGAGGAAGAGGAGGAGGAGGAGGTGGCCAGGCTCGGTGTCTGCCCCGCTCCCCTGCGAATCCAGAGGGTTGAGAAGACGGGACGGATCTGTGGGATTGGGATCTGACACAGGTATGTTCTTGGCTGCCGGCACTCAATGGGGTCCTTCTGCCTGATGGTCCCATGGGGCCATCAGGGCTCACTGGAAGGACTGAAGATGAAGGACAGGGTGCAATAAAGCCCCTTGCCTGGGTTGGTCAGCCAAACACCATGGTAATGACAACCGTCCCCAAACCTGGCTTGAAGGACATTTAGATCAGTGCTTAGGAGGGGCAGTTGGGTGATGGGTTGGGTGAAATGGGTTGGGTAGCTGGGTGGTGGGTTGGGTAGTTGCGTGGTGGGTTGGTTGATCAAGCAATCAGACAGTTGACTTGTCAGTCACTTGGTCAGTGGGTTGGTTATTTGGCCAGTCAATTGGTTGGTCGGTTGGCCAACATGTTGACCATTTGGCTTGTTTCTTGATTGGTTCATTGATTTGGCTGGTCAACCAGTTAGTCAGTTGGTCAACTGGTCGGTTAGTTGGGTTGTCAGTCGGCTGATCAGCTGGTTGGGCAACTGGTCAGTTAGCCCGTTGGTTTTCTCTTGAGTCCAGGGTCTCAAGCAGTGCCTGGGTGGCAGAGGCAGAGTGGGGCTGAGTCCCCTCCCCGGGGCCAGCCGGTGGCAGCAGTCTCCTCCCCCTCCACTTGCCACCCAAAATGATTAACCTGATCTTCCTGAGGGGTCACACACATGGGACAGGGCTGGACCAGGGAGATGACCCAGCTGACCCTTGGGGCTGGGTGCTCATCCTTCTCCTGCACTTGGAGGGCATGGTGTGGTGCCTGTGGGGAGCCCCTGGCTGTGCAGTTCTCTTGGGGGAAAAAGAGAGGATTTGGGACTCTGAGCTGCTGGTAGGAGGCAGGAGGGGTCCACTGCCATGTCCCTGAGCCCCCGCATGCCTGTGCTCTCCCTCCCGCATGCATGCACGTAGGGCTTTGCCAGATGTGCCCACATGTGCTCACATACATGTTCTCACGCCCATGTCTGCGTGGGCACACATGCGCACGTTGCTTGGTCACGTGGTTGCGTAGACCCACAGCTCTGCACACGCGTGTGCCAGCATGGCCACATGCGCATCCAGCCGTGCAGGCATCCATATGGCCACACACAGTCACACGTGTGTAGGTACACCTCCTGGTGGTCCTGCAACGTGGGCCCATGCCCAAACATGCTCCCTGCTCCCGCTCACCAGCCCCACGATTCGGGGTGTCCATGGGGCCATGCAACTCGGAGGGAGGCGGGGAGGCAGGGGGGCAATCACGGGGACTGGGTTAGGGACCTGACCCTGCTGCCTTGCAGCCATGGCCTCTGGCGTGGACAGCCTCGACCTGCTGGACCTTCTCTTCGACCGCCAGGATGGGATCCTCCGTGGCGTGGAGCTGGGGACGCTGCTGGGTGCCTGGCATGAGGACGGGGTGAGTCCCCCAGGCTGGGGGTCCCATCCCCACATCCCCACCTCATCCCTGGCTCTGGCAGGAGAGCCCCATCCCCATGGCTTGCCCAGGAGCTGGGACCACCCTGCAGTGCCATCAGCTCCTATGGGCACCCCAGGGTGATGGGCACCCCATGGTGACGGGCACCCATGTCCCCACAGCGTACCCAGGATGGCGAGGACTTCCTCAGATCCATCCTGGCCTCTGGGGACTCTGTGTCGGACTCACCCGGCTGGTCCCCAGCCACCAGTGACAGCGGGGTCTCTGAGGACCCCCCCTCTGACCAGCTCGACAGCCCCCCCAGGTGCTGTGACGGGGGTCCCAGCGAGGTCGTGTACCCCTACACCAACCCCTGTCGAGCTCTGCCCCCACCGGGGAGTGCTGGGGTCCTGCACCCCGAGGTCTCCATCGACCTGGGTGAGCCACAGGGGAGAGACTGGGCAAAGGCCCAGGCTGGGGGCACTGGAGGGACTGGGGGGGAGCTGGTGCCGTGCGGGGATAGTGAGGAAATTAGGGGAGCTTGGGGGACTGGAGGGAACTGGGGTGGGGGCAGGACCAGAGGGACAGTTTGGGGGGCCAGAGTCCAGGACCACTGGAATGTCAGGTGGCAGCAAGTCACCGTAGCTCTGGGGCTGTGGCAGGGGTGAGGGTCCTGCACTGGGGACACGGGGGACAGAGGGGGTCAGGGGACTGCTGACAGCCTCTGCTCTCCCCTCACCCAGACATGTGGCACCCAGGCTTCTTCCTGGAGGAGAGCCAGGACCTGCCCGTGGTCTGCCCGCCCGCATCCTGCACCCTCACCGTCAAGGACCTGCTGCTCTCGGGGAGCTCTGATGCCGTGAGTGCCCCCCGCCCCCGCGTCCCCATCCTTCCCTGTCCCCAGCCTTGTCCCTTCCTGGACCTCGATCCCCTCCCCGTTCCTGTCCCCTTTCCTCTTTGTCCCTGCACTTGTCCCCTTTCCCACACCATCATCTCATCCTTCTCCCTTCCTGCACCACAATCCCACCCTCATCCCCACGCCATGGTCCCCACCGCGGTCCCCGGGGCCAGGCGCAGGGTGACCCCTGCCACCCAGGGCCCTCACCCATCCCTGGCCCCGCAGCAGCCGCAGGTGCCCAGCTCCCTGCTGAGGCAGAGCCAGGGGCAGTTCCAGGAGCTGGTGCTGACAGAGGATGAGAAGAAGCTGCTGGCGAAGGAGGGGGTGTCCCTGCCCACGCAGCTGCCCCTCACCAAGGTGGGTCCCACTGCGCCGGGGACGGGTGCGGAGCTGGGGGGGTCCCAGCCCCGGCGGCCCTGACCCCCCTCTGTGTCCCCCAGTATGAGGAGAGGGTGCTGAAGAAGATCCGTCGGAAGATCAGGAACAAGCAGTCGGCTCAGGAGAGCCGCAAGAAGAAGAAGGAGTACATCGACGGGCTGGAGAGCCGGTACGGACCCCACACCCCTGCTCCGGGCAGGGCTGCCCGCCAACCCCTGCGGCCGGCACCCCGCACCCTCTCCGGGCACTCTGGGGCACCCGGCTGCCGGTGATGGGCACACTGGCTCCTTGCCAGCCCCCCCCCAGCTACCCCCCTGACCTCGTCCCCCTCTCCCTGTCCCCCAGGATGTCGGCGTGCACGGCCCAGAACCAGGAGCTGCAGAGGAAAGTCCTGCACCTGGAGAAGCAGAACTCGTAGGTGCTCCCGGGGCAGGACGGGGACGAGGCAGGGGGGGCTGGGACTGGGACTGGGAGGTGCTAAAGGGCTCCCCCTGTCCCCAGGTCCCTCCTGGAGCAGCTGAAGAAGCTCCAGGCCCTCGTGGTGCAGTCAAGCAACAAGGCAGCGCAGACGGGAACCTGCATTGCGGTGCGTGGAGCCCCCAATCCCCCCCCCAGGCCCCCTTGCTTCGAGGGAAGGAGGCTCACACCCACCGGGATGTGCTGGCAAGGGGTGGATGGAAGGACGGACAGAGGGACGGACGTGGGCTAAGGCAGAGGGATAGATGCTCCAAGGTTGGATGGATGGAGGCACGTGAGGATGGGTGGAGGAAGGGGTGGATGGAGGCAGGGGCACGTGCACCGTGGGGGACAGGGGGATGCAGCCCTGGTTCTGCCACCAGCCCCCTCGCTGGGACCTGTGTCCCAGAACAGGTGAGGGCCGCGCCGGGGCTGTGCCGGGAGCTCCGGGCACTGGAGCGGGCCCTGACCCTCCTTCGCTCTCAGTTTTCTCCAGGTCCCTGCACAACGCAGCCGCCTCCCGCGTGGCTTACACACAGCCCCAAGCCAGGGACGAGAACCCCCCGGAGCCGCTGTGGCCGGAGCACCTGGGCGAAGCCCCCGAGACCCTGCACGAAGCCTTTGGCAGCCACACATTCACCCCACGCCCGGACAAAGCCTCCCCCCATAATGGCACGCAGCCGCTTGCCTCGGAGGGGCTGAGCCACGGGGACGGGGATCGAGCTGACACCGTGCCTGGGGACAGCACCGCACCACACCACAGCCTGGCACCGCTGGCTTGGACCGAGGCTGGCCACAGGAGGCCCGTGGCGCTGGAGCCGGCTGAGGAGCTTTAAGCAGCACCCAGAGACCGTGGAGGATGCGATGGGGTGGCTCGGGGTGGCCCCTCTAGATTCTGCCTCCAGGCGCGGGCAGATGCTGGACCTGCATGGCTTTGCTTGTATCTGTGAACTGGGAAGATGAGACTGGTTCCCATCGGCCTTACTGGGAGGGAAGGGGCTGCTCCTGCCCCGCGGGCGCAGCAGGAGTTGCAGCCAGGCCAGGGGGTTGCTCAGGAAGGGGACGAGGGAACCAGAGGAGCCCTGGGCTGGTTGACCGTTGATGTTGCAACTGGTTGGTTTTGTTGGTTTTTTTTTTTTTTTTTTAAGCTTTATTTTCATTTCTAAATAAAAGGTATTTTGGAAAAAAAATCCACCTGCTTTAGTTTAATACGGGGTGATCCACAAGGTGTTAAGGATCCTTGGGGCAGGGCCACCTCCAGCCCAGCTGCCATGAGGCAAGGGGGTCCAGCAGAGCTGGGACACGTGGCCAGACCCAGCCCAGGGCTGCCCCGGGAGCGGTGGGCACAGCCGCAGGCAGAGGGGAGGGCAGCAGGGCCAGGGCAGCATCCCACAGCTCCCGGCCCTGCGCCAGGTCAGGATTCGGCCAGCGCCCGTCCCCTTCCAGCACCCAGCGACATCCCCTGCATCACCGGCGCGCCCGGGGCCGGCTCTGCGGGCAGATCTTAGCCCAGAGATCGCAGGGGCTCGTCCCAGCCTTCGCCCCTCGCCGCTCTGAGCCTGCTGGACCCCACAGCCGCCTCCTCACAGAGCAGGAACTGGATGCTCGGACCGTTTCAGGCAGGCAGCTCCCTTCCCAGGGCGGTGCAGCTGCCCCACCACACGCGATTCAAGTGTATTTAATACTTACATTAAAAAAAGGGACAGTGTTTAAGGGTATAAAAAAAAGTCGGTAGGAAAAGCGGCACAGACGAGTGTCTAGACAGACAGGGAACAGTCTGGGTCAGGTGAGGAGAGGCTCCACCTTCATCTTCTTCACCGTGGTTGGCCCCGTGTCCGGGCTGGGACGCTCCTGCTTCAGACTGTCACGGTGCTCCACCAGCGTGGTCCCAAGGTCAGGGCAGAGCCCACCCGTGCCGTTGTGCTGGGAGAGGGGCTCTTCCTTCAGCAGCCCGCGAGCCCCGGGCTCAAATTTGAAGAGCTGTTCGGGCTTGGCGAGCTCAGCGCTTTCCACCACCACTGGCCCCGTCCACTCCGGGACCTCCAGCCCCAAATGCTTCATCAGCTTCGTCATGACATCATCGACGTAGGCGTGGATGCGCAGGTCGGCCTGTCTGTCCTGGGGTGAGCAAGGGCAAGCACGGTGTTAGGGGACAAACATACTGTGTGGGGACAAATGTCCCCTCCCAGGGAGCGCGTGGGGACAGGGCCTGGGTGATGGCTCAGCTGCACGCGGGCTCCAGGGCTCCTGTCCCTGGGACATTGTCCCTGGTGGAGCAGGAACTGAGACCCTGACCCCAGCTGGGTCCACTCCCCGGCTGCGCCGCAGGCTGACAGGGCTCGATCAGGGTGTGGGCAGGCAGTCCCCACCTTGAAACACAGCCTGGAGACGGGGACGTGGATGCAGAGCCAGGCTAGCGAGCCCAGGACAGAGTGGGACAGGGACAAGGGAGCTCTAATGACATCCCAGAATACCCCCCCTCCCCGGCTCTGCTTATTCAGACAATTAGGGCACCAAAACCAGGGCTGAACATGACCCGAACTCTGCCCTGTGGCGTGGGTTACGTGCGTGCAGTTATTGAATCAGACTGCAATTCACCGGAGGATACCTCAGGCTTTGGGCTGAGTTTTTATTCCACTCTTAAGATTTACCTTCCATTTCTAGGTGTTTATCAGGAGTTGCAGGTTTAAACCCTCCAAGGAGGGCAGCCCAGCCTGTTTGCTCGCTAAGCGCGGCCTCTCTTCTATCTGGCTGCCTGGGAGGGGACAATGTGCGGGGACAAACCTGCAACGGGGCTGAAACAAGTGATGCAAGGGGAAAGGAGCAGCGCAGACGCTCTCACTCACGTGTTTGGTTGCTTGTAGGTTGACTATGACCAGCTTCCCTCCTCTCTTCTTTGTGATCAGCGGGAGGTTGCCACTGGGTTTGATCTGCAGAGAGGTCCCCAGAGTGACGGAGAGGTCAGCTTTCCTGCAGGGAGAAGACAAAACATCCAGGGCAGAGAAAAAGCCGTGGCTGTTTGCCGGCTGCTTCTCCTACCCCGCTCCAGTGTGGACTCTCCAAGTTTCCCAGCTGGGAAGCAAAGCTGTGGCCGGAATTTGCAGTGGTTCCTCTCGGCCACATTCGGGGGAGAGGGCTGGGCGTTGCTGTGCTGTGGGTACAGCCTCAGGGCTGTGAGGCACAAAGCACAAGGAACAAAGCCAGGCAGGGTTGGCCCGAGCACGGCTGTGGTGCTGGCAGAGGACGGGGAGCCCGGGCACTCTCCCGGGGCACCGCGAGCCCCAGGCGCCAGCAGCCGCCACGGCGTGAAGAGCCCAAGGGCAGTACCTGCAGGCTTCGTCCGCCAGCGTGAGGTCACGGTCAGGCAGAGAATCTTCCCAGTCCAGAATGGTGTCTCTTAACTTCCCTCTAGAAAACACACACAGGGACCACAGTTTCTCCCTGCCAGGCAGGGACAGACGGCAGAGCTGCCCTGGGAGAGGGGACAGCGACCCAGATCCTGTCCCACCCTCCCCAGCCCCGCACTGCAAGGGGACAGAGAGAGCCCAGACAAACCAAGGGGGCTCACCGGCAGCTGAGGGAAGGCACAGAATTAACCTGCACGAAGGATTTTGCAGCTGGTGCTGCATCACCACCAAAGCACCAGCTGCTTTGCTGTCCCAGTTCAGAGCTGGGATGTGCCTTTCACTCCGCAGCATCAGAGCTGAGCCAGCAGAGCTCTGCCCCACAGCCCTCAGCTCCCAGCTCTGCTGTGCTGGCTCTGCAGCTGGCCTGGATGAGAAAAGCAACTGGGCTGGCTGGGTGAGCCTGGGTGAGGAAGTGCGAGGGGCACACAGAGCGTGTCTGGATGCCAGATACCACAGGGTACCCCCGGCTACTCTGCCTACACTTCCCTACTGAAGGCGAGCAGCAGCCGGGCAGCGCAGTGGCCGTATCCTGCTGGAGGGGAAGTGTGTCTCTAGAGCTGCCACCCCACAGCATGGCATTCTCCAGCACCAGGACATGCTCAGATTATTGGCATGGGAAGAAACCCCAAAAGGAGGCTGCATGGCTGGGACTCGGAGATGTGGGTGCTGGCTTCCTATCTGGGCTTTTGGAGATCTCCCCTACACCCACTGCTTCTTCCCTGGAGCTGGAGGGCCTGTCAGCCCAGCCCTGCAAAGCCAAGTCTGCGCACCAGAGCCTCTCGCTCGGGTGAATGGGTCTTTGCCACCCCACGTCCCCTCAGGAGCCCCCATAGAGCTGCCCAGCAGACGTACCTGCAGGCCCGCAGCCCCCGGGCTTTGGTGACGCTGCACAGCCTGCCTGTGGGCTTCAGCCCCATGCTGCCCACGACCGCGTCCCGCACGTACTGCCTGCAAGAGAGACGGCGCCATTCAGGGCCAAGCGTGCAGGGAGGTGGCGCCTGCTGGGACATGTCCCCTCTGGTATGGCACACCTCACACCACAGACCCTGCGCTGGAGGAAGCAGGTGATGGCTCAGAGCCACCAGTGATGAGTGGAGCACCTCAGTCCTTCATTGGCCTCTGCCTGCGTCTCTAACCAGGCGCTGCTGACAGCAGCTCTGACCAACAGCCCCGGAGGTCTGCCACAAACCAGGATGGAAAACCCAGCTTGTAGCAACCTCCTCTCCTCTCTCCAGCTGGTGGGCACAGACCCTGCTGCAGGCAGCCCTGCTGGCACTTGAGTCTTGCCACAAGGAGCCGGATTTGCTGAGGGCCTCCCAGGCAATGGAGCATTCCCAGAACATTCCTTTCCCACCATTTGACAGGGTTTAGGATTCAGACGGACAGATCTGTCCTTGACCCCACATGCACCATGCTAGAGACCTGCCAGGCAGACAGCCCCCCGGCACAGGCAGGGCCTCCATCATCCCCTGGGGACAGCAATGCAGCCCCCACCCCGCTGATGCCCTCCCCAGGCTCAGGGCTCACGTACTTGCCGCATTTCACGCACTCTTCCACAAACATGTTCCCGTGGAGCTCAGCCAGCTTGTCCCTGGGGGAGAAATGGCAGAGGTGAGCTGGGGAAGGGTGGAGAGCCCTGGGGCAACAGGGAAACCTGCCCAAAATCCCCTCCTCACCAGGGGCCTTGCACCTCAAGGGCTTCCCCACGTTCCAGTTCTGCCAGATCAGACCTGCCAGGTGACATGGGGTGGCAGGGACCCTCTGCCATGGCCTGGGGACAGTGCCCCAGTACAGGGTCAGCACTGAGGGGAATTATTTTAGTTTTAGACAAATATGGCTGCATCAGAGCAAGGCACTAGCATCAGGCAGGCTCTGGGGGCACTGGGTGCCACAAAATGACCTGGCCTTGCTGCAGGGAGGCACCTGGTCCAGAAGAGGAGACCATTGGTCTGGCCACCCAGTGCGGGGGCTTCCCCATGTTGAGTGTGGGGGCTTCCCCATGCCAAGCGTGGCCATTGCATGCAGGGCAAGCAGGCACCGTCAAAACTATGGCACACCGAGCACCGCTTTGTGCATTTAACACAAGAAATACTGCTCAAAGGGAGTTTGGGCAGAGCTGTCCCTTTCCCGGGGCAGGGGAGACCCAGAGGACACGTTCAGATCCTGGCGAGAGGCCTTCTGTGCCACGGTTTCATTTCCATCATAGAAGCACTACGCTACGGCCACCGCAATTGGGACTAAGGGGAGGGACCGCAGATCCTGGCTTTTTAATTTCTAAATGTTTCCATCTGCAGCACCAATTCTAGCCCCCGTTCTGACCAGCCTCACATCTTCCCTGTGCCTGGTAGTAGCCCAGATCCTTGCTTTTCTCAGCTCTCAGTGTTCCTCTCTGCCCTTGCGCAGTTCCAGCCCTTTGCTACTTGTTTTGGCTAAAACTCCCCTCGAGCTCAGCGCGAGCCTCAAAGCGCAGAAGCTAGAGGAAAACAAGGCCATGTGCTCCCTGTGTTCCTACGAGCCCCACGGTGATTGGGAACCTCCTCCAGGGCGGATGGAGACAGGACTGACTTGATTTCCCCCATTTTGGCCCCAGTTCAGCGGCGCTTACTTAAGCACATGCTTCGCTTGGGCAGAAGAGCTGTGCTAAACCAGAGCGGGAGGCAGTGGCACTAGGCTGTAGGGAGCACAGCTGAGTTCTGGTCATTATTTCCTATTCTTTTCCCATGGTTATTTAGTTTGAAAAGGCAAACGCGGTGCTAGGAGCAGGAACCAGGACTCAGGGCTTTTAATAATAGAAAATAACCCCTGGAGGCAGCTCTCTGCTCAGCCCACGATGGCTGAAGACATTTGTGAGATGCGCCTTCTCTAAGGTCCCATTCACACTCCTCGTTCTCATCCCAACTCCCTGCATTTTATTTTCTTACTTGAATTCAGCTGCTCTCCCCTTTCCTTTCCAGGCAGCTCCTCACAAGACAATCACTTGCTGGTCTTAAGTGCTGGAAATGGGTTTTATGGGAGGCTGAAGTTTCTCGAAGGGAAAAGAGCCTGTTGCCGCAAGTGCTAATGGAAAGGCAGGTTCCTTTGAGGACATCTTTGAAACAGCCACTGCGCTGCTAAATGCACTTCAGTCCCCACCCACGCAGGGAGCAGAGATATTAAACCCTCTGCTCCCATACATCGCAGCTCCCCACACAGGGAACACGGCTACGCAGGATCCCTGACCTCACCGCGGAGGCAGAAGAAATTAGAGACCGCAGCCGGTAAGTCAGACCAGTTCCAACTGCGGGACTCTCTCCATCTTGCCGTGCTTGCCATTTCAGAAATTTATTGAGAGGCAAAGTACTTTTTAAGGCTATCTCGGGCCCACGCATGGTACTTAGGCCCTGGATGGGTACAGAGGCAGCGGAAAGGACCGTGCACCCCGAGCGCAGCTCTGAGCCCAGATGCCAGGAGCATGTGCCCTACTTGAAGCTGACATCTCACTCCCCGGGCCACAAGCCCCCAGGCAGCCACACAGTGCAGCTGGGCTGCTCACAGTGGTACTGACAGCTACAGCCACTCAGCCGATGGGTGGTAACACAGAGCGGCTCAACACCGTGACTTGTTCGTTCCACTCGTGAGCAAATGGCTTCTGGGTGTACTTCTAGAGAGTATCAGCCAAGGCTGACTTAATTTCATCACTCTCTGAATTACTGCCATAACCTCTCTGCTCTAAATTCAAGCTGGTTTATGTACCCCTTCCCACACCAGCCCATCCCAGTTTCCACTCCCAGTATCAGCGGGCAGACAGCTTCCAAGTCAGCCTTGGAAATCAAGCCCCGGCATCCAGTGTTTGGACGTGGAGCCACACTAATCAGGCAGCAAGAACAGCCATGTGGCAGCGGCTGGGAAAGGCACAAGGGACCCGGAGACAGGGCAGGAGAGGCACTACCGTGGGAATCCTGAACGCACGTGAAGGCCGTCCACATTCTGGCTGACCAGGAATTTCAGGATGCCGACCCTCTGCAGCCCCAGCAGCGCCATGTGAGTCTTGGAGGGTCTGGCATTCTCAAAGGTGGTGTCAAATTTTGGGGAGAGCCCCTTCTCTTCCATAGTCCAGACACCATTGGGCCCCCTACAGCAGTGGGGACAGAAAGAGTGAGAATTTAGAGCTGAGGATCTAAGATGACAGTTGTAAATGCACCACAAGCCCTATCAATGGAGGATGAGCAGGGCACTGCTAAATGAAGGCCGTATATCACCAGTGATTTTTGTCGTCGATGCAAGCAGAGCACACGTAGGGCCTCTGTGGGTCTTAAGGTCAAACAGGCATGCAAGAGGGAAAGGGTATTTTCAGCTGGATCCAGGACCAGACAGGAGGGATGGAGTTCTGGCTGGGGTAGCAGGAAGCACGGTCCAGAGCTTTACAGGATGCAAGATGGACTTGGAGAAGCTGCCATCCTCCCAACCTGCTGCCCACCCTGCTTACCTGAAGTCGGGAATCCCCGAGGCAGTGCTGATTCCAGCCCCCGTGTGAAACACCACATTGGAGGAACTCCTGATCAAGTCCGCCAGCTCCCGCACCTTCCTCTCCAGCTCCTCCGGTGGATCAAAAATCTGAGCAGAAGAGACAAACCACCATGGGAATGGAGAGATGCAGGGATAGATCCTACACGCTTCCTGGCACAAAGACCCAGTAAACCACAATTCTTTCTTATCCATGGAAGGAAAGAAGATTACTCATTCCTTAATGACAAAAGCATTTACTCAGAGAGAAACAGCGCTGTATAAACACCTCCATGGAGGGTAAGGGCTTAAAACACCTAACGCGGACGAGGGTATTTATTGCTCTCACTGACAGGCAGCTGATACCCTGAGCAGTGGCTGGGCTCCAGGGCACTGCCGGGCTGCGGGAGGACAGGAGCGAAGCTGGTGCCACCCCACGTGTGCTGAACTCCAGCTGTCACCAGCACAGCCACCGGCTCTGCGGACAGGACAGGGCCAAGGGACAGCGAGCTGGACAGGAAGCCATGGAGGTGGGGGACGCAGGGACGCTATGGCTGGATGGGACTGTGGGCCCACCTGGCTTTCTGGCATGGGCACAAGTTTTCATTTGTGTGAGATGCTTCTCCAGCCCGTTCTCCTGGGGACAGGGACTGAGGACAGGCCCCTGCATGTCCCTGTCCCCTCACCCCCCCAGGCTCAGCACAGGCCCCTGCATGTCCCTGTTCCCTCACCCCAAAACCTGTTTTAAGCTTCCCAAGTACCGCTGGGGGCATGGGGCTGGGATCACCCCCATGGTGCCTGGGACGGGCCCCTCATCCCCAGCCCCCGGGGATCCCCGCTGGGGAATACAAAGGATCCCCATACAGCTGGGAGACCCTTTTGGGGGCTGGTGGGGGACACAAAACAGGGGGATAGTGCTGGGCCTGGAGGAAAAGGACAAGGAGGGAGCCATGGGGCTGGAGGGGACAAGGAGGGAGCCATGGGGCTGGGAGGGGACAAGGAGGGAGCCACGGGGCTGGCCTGGGGTGGGCTAAGGAGGGAGCCATGGGCCTGGCAGGGACAAGGAGGGAGGCATGGGGGG